ATCCATTTATAATCAAATATGAGCCAATACCATTTAGTATGAGCGGTAGCTTTTACCATAAAAATTAGCCTTTTTTATTACCTATTTACAAAAATTTTAAAATAAATCCGTAAAAAAGTTCTTACCACTTTATTCTTAATACTCGTAATTTTCTTGTATAATGATGCCGAAGTAAAAAACACAAAAGAAAATAAAACATGCGTGAGTGTCGTGGAACACTCGGTTGGAACGAAGTTCCTTTCGTAGTATATTATTATTGACAAACTTATTATATTATTGATTAACAAATACAAATAAATGAATTACTAGCGTCTATAAAAATGAAGCGTCATTTAAAATAAAATAATAATTCTTTCATGGCAAGATAAGAAATAGTGCGAGGGATATGGATAGTATTCTATCTCGCTTTCTTAGAGCCGCCAAAGCCGTCTACACTACGTCCAAAAGGGTCGTGACGGAAAAATCTTAAATTTTTTGTCGCCTAGCTCCCATCCGCTAAATCCATAAGGTCCAATATTTTTTTCCTGAAAGTGTATGCTGTTGCGAAGCGCCGCTTCGCCAGCTGCAGTCCCGAGTCACTCCGGCCCCTGCTTTCGTAGTGAGGCTCCTCTTGCTGTTGGGCTTGGTGTGATTCAAGGACCCCTCAAAATTTTACGAGGTGTACGGATTTGTGTAAATTGAAAACCAAAATGTTTTCGACTTTTTGGAATGAAGTTCCTTATCGGACGGTACGGATTTAGCGAATGGGGGCTAGGCGACAAAAAGTGTAAGACTTTTCCGTCACGTCACAACCCCATCTGACGTAGTGTAGACGGCCTTGGCGGCTACAAGGAAGAGAGATAGAATAATATCCATCTCCCTCGGTGGTTTAAAAACTCATCAAATTTTGTTTTTAAAACTGATTTAGTATTATCGAAAAACAACGCAGCACCTAGCAGGTATAGTGATTCTGTACTGACACTTTTTATTCCTCGAGAAATATGATTGAAATTTTGAATTAAAGTGTCGCTGTGAGAAGTAGATACATTATTGGAAAAAATATTTCGCATTTATTGCCATTTGGTTCAAGACCAATATTTTTAAAATTTCGAAAAATATGAGTAAGATCACCGAGGACTTCATCTCTTCTACCTCCCAGTGTACCGTAGTCCAGGTACCAGACATTCAGCTTGGATTTCAAATTTGAAATGATGGGTTGAATTCCCAAACATTAAAGTGCTGGACCTAGTGGGTCACCCTTCTGAACACCGACAGCAGAATCAATAATATGGTTTTCATAAAACAAGTTAGTATTTTGACTGTAACATTGCCAAACGTAATGATAAATTTCGGGGGTATTGTTAGTCACTTCTTTCAGCAGGGTTACCCTATCGATAGAGTTAATAGCATGCTTTAGGCCCTTCACAAGAACATCTGCATCAGAGTTTTACAGCCACCTCTAGTGTCTAGTTTAGTAAGCTGAATTTTTGTCCTAAGGTTAGAGATTATGTGCCTGCAAACTAGTTCAGAAGTTAAGCATCGAAATGTGGAACCAATGGCAATAGTTCGGATATCGAAATTTCATTCCATTCTTATATGGGGCATAAACTTGCCACATATAAGAATGGAATGAAATTTGGATATATATTTCCAGAAAGCATAAAGTTACATAATTTTGTAATGTCATTAAGAAGTACTCCGCCGGCGTCACCGGCAGAAGCGCTTACAAGATATTTAAGATGTTGAGACGTAATTCCGTCAATGCCACCAACATTCGAAAATTACATAATTGCTTCTAAAGGCTCTTTTTCAGAAATTTGTAAATGTTGCATAGATGTCGTGTGAGGCAGCGGTAAACTTTGAGAAGGATTGACCCAAGGATGCTTCCAACGAAGGCCTTCAAGAGTTTCGACATTACGAGGAGCCAGAATGTCGTCTGAGAATAAAATACGCGATGGATTTTATTGTCGCCATCCATTACTTTCGACTCAATTACTTTGTTTTTAATAAAATTTAAGACGAGTTCGAGATAAATGAGTATTAATTGGGTAATCTAAATTTTGAAAAGATGTCCCTTTTAGTTGAGACGTAATTGATTTATTTATTGTTTCATCAATATAAAAATGGGAATACACGAAAGTAAGTTTTTGCACGTGGTAGAGCCATGCTGCAGCTATAATAGAAGTATAGTTGTAGCACGAATGGGTCGGCTCGACCGGGGAAGGACCACGCTCTCATAGAATACCAGCGTAAAACAACAGTTTAACACTGCTGTGTTTCGTATGGTGATTGTTGAGTGTAGAGAACCGGAGACCCTTTTACTGTAAAAGAGGCATTCCATCTTAGTCCTCACGGGTGACAATGCATCTGCATTTTGATTCGCAAACAGGGATAGCTGTAGATGTCTATGGGCTACAGCAACCACTTACCATCAGGTGGACTGTGTGCTCGTTTGTCACCCTATATTATAAAAAAATATAACAATATTTTTTACTATTAGTGAAACAATTTTGAATAGTGCATGACAATGCTTTAGCAAGCTGCATCCTCACACATCTAGGAATTCTTTTAACCACTGGTACATTGCGATGATAATTGTAAATTTATCACGAAAAGAGGGAAAAATTTGTGTCATTTCATGAAATACTAATAGAGTTATTAATTTCTACGATAGGCTCTGAAGCCGAAATACTTTTACTATGGCATCGTTTAATATGTATATTTAATCCTTTTTTACCTTTAAACAGCCTACCGTTGGTAAAATTTTTACACTGTAGGAAATCCGGTTGTGAATGTAGCGGAGCGGAGATATTCCTAAAGAAATTGAAGCAGATCTCTACAGGACTCAAAATTCTTTATATTACATAGATTTATATTTACTTGAAATGTGCTGTACCCCGCATCTTTCCATGAAACACAATCATTTCCGGCCTAAATGAAAGCATTTTGCGCTATAAATGAAATATTATCGCATTACTTCCCTAGATTTATTCCATATTGCTAAAAATTGTATGTAGTTGTTATGCTTTGACAGCTGACAACGACGCAACAGAAATATTTCGCTTTGCTAAAATCCCCGTAAGCTTAACAAAGGGCAGTTATTTCGATATTATATACATACACTTCAATTTCATTTTTATTTATTTGTATGATACCTTATGTATGATCACGATTTCTTTGTATAGCAACCACCGATTTTTATTACCACGATAGCAACTTTAATATATGAAAATAAATAAAAAGGCGAGTCGGACTCGCATATGAAGGCTTCCGTACCATCGTACAAGATTTAAACATCGTTGAAAATTTCAACTGCCTACCAATTACGGATCATGAGATACAGCCCGCTGAGAGACAGAAGGACAGACAGCGGAGGCTTAGAAATAGGGTCCCATTGGTTACCCTTCGGGTACGGAACCCTATAAACTGATCATGGGAATGAATCCACGACCTTTTCTTACACCTGGGCGGGTCAACTTAAAAATTAGGCGTAGTATTTGACAGATATTCTAACGGGGAATTAAATTGTTCGAAAAATGTAAAAGATAACTTTCTTTCTGTACTATTAGTTATATTTTATATTTATTAGATTTGAAATAAATAGTTCAAACCACATTTATTCATAAAAGTAGAAATATTATAAAAGGAGTTAAAATGTGCAAAAAATCAAAGGGACATTGTTTTATGTTTTCATATAATATAATCTAGAAACTGATTAACTTTTGTTTAAAAGTAACTTCTCAAATAAACGACAAGGCCGGCAACGCATCTGCAATTCCCTCCCTGGTGTTGCAGTTGTTCATGGGCGGCGGTAGTCACTTACCATCAGGTGAGCCGCATGCTCGTTTGCCCCCTCTCCTATAAAAAAAAAAAACATTGTGTAACAAGAAACTTCACCTCAGTGTCGACTAGCGACATCCCTCTTTGGTAACATAAGTAATCGAAGAGTATTCTTACTTACTTTAATAATTGCAATCATTTCAATTTATTAGTATTCTTGGCAACTCCGATTATGCCGTATGTTCAACTCCGATCATATTATAATACTGTTACGAGCTTGGGGTTCGAGACAATTAAAAACTGCCGATTGAATTACCAAAATTAACACTTTAATTACACAACACTAATTACAATTTAAAACAACACTAATAATAAAACACAATTGTACAACTGATCACTTAATTTCACAGTTGTTTCGCTATGTCGGTCCCGAAATTTCTAGAAGGATCTTGACTCTCCTAGTTCTGCTACTCGACACTAGAGGGCGCTAGTGGTGACTAGTGTTGCCATGTACAAGACATTAATAGTAGCGCGCAACAATACCTTTATACCTATGTTAATCGAAATTTCGTTATCATATTAAACAAATTTTTACAATCGTTCATAGTTTATGGGAATTTTATATAAAACTGTTTGGAGCATAGACATAGAATGTACTTGCGACCTGACAGCCCTAATGTGCAATTATCAGGACTATTTCTATTATTTATAGCACAGGCACTCACAGAACAAGTAACCATTTTGGAAAACAGTTAATTACTAAAAATAACCACTATTACACTCTAAAAAATTACAAAATATCTAGGAGCTATTTCTTGCGTGCCGACTTGTGCCGCCATATAATTTTATGTATACAAAATCGATTACAGAGTCATGAGTTTTGGTGTCCTTTTCTATCTTGCATTTTTGCCATAAGGAATCTACTTCTCACTTGCACACTATGTCGGTCTATACGCCAGTATATTCTAAGTCTATGGTGTGGAGAGTCCGCACGGTGGCTTTGTTGTAGAGCAACATTCTTCTTCACTTATTGAGCTTTTGAATGTTTCTGGCAAAGAGTATATTTATTACAATCACTACGTTTTAGCTTCTGGTATGAAAAAGTATCTTCGATTTAAAAAAAAAGAATAAAGTTTCACGTCAATCATTTAGTTGACAAAAACATAATTTTTGGAATTAATTAGGTGTTTAAGTTGCAAAGCGTAATATTTATTTTAGTTGTGAATATAAAATAAACCGATATGAGTTACATGTTGAGAAGCGATGCGATGTCAATGTGTGATGTCTATCTGCAGCCAGAAGCTGCATTCGATATTGTATCACGATTCGGTGAAATGGGTTGCTTGCAATTTTTGGACGTACGTGTTTTACCTTTACATATAAATAAAATTGAAGTGTATATCGAAATAACTGAATTAAATTGAGCTAAGGGATTATTTGCATACCATTGAGACATAAAATAACTATTTTAATAAAATGTCCGTCCGTCTGCTCCTGACAGTCTTCAGAATGTCTGAACCGATTGTAGTAAAACCTTACGGACAGAGTAAGAACAATACCTCTAATATAGGCTATATTTTATACGTAGAATTTGAAAAAGTTGTTTTTGAGAAACATAAAAATTTATAAAATAAATAGTCCTTAGCTATCTTAAATCTAAATAACACCACATTAATAGATTCTATCCTCCGGGTGGGTTACGAGTAATCAAGTATGTAGTGAAAAAATTAATAACATAAAAATTAAGATATTTTCATTTTAAAATTAATTTATAATTATAACTATACAATATTATTATTTAAGTGTGAATTTTATGTATTTGATACATTATACAAAATAACAAATAGCCTTTAGAATATAAAATCAGAAGGACACTTCTTAACGTTCGTAAGATTTTTGAAAAAATTATTATGATCAAATGTAATTTTTTTTAATATAAATAATTTAGGTAATTCATAAATATCAATTTGGTTTCACAAGGGTTTGCTCGACAACTGATGCCGGTGTTGAGCTGATTAAATATATCTTTAATGGATAGGAGAATTCACAGAATGCTTTGGGTATATTTTTGGGTATATGTTTAATTTTTCCCCTAATCGACTTTGGCAATGTGTGTTATTTCGACCTGCCGGGCTATTCACAATCGTCTCGGAAAGCGAATTCGACTCGGATTCGATAACTTCTCGCACCGAAACCAATAAACGCTATTCACATTTAACGTTCGGATAAAGGTCACTTAGATACATCCCATAACTATTGTATCGTCATTTAGTTACATGCATTTACGATATTTACGAATTTTGTAGATAAATAGGCTTTTGTATTTTTTTAGAGTAACGCCTAAACAAAAACATAATGCAATATTTTGGTGTTAGCCATTGATATCGAATATAAAAAATATATAATTTAACTATATAATAAATAACAAAAAAACTGAGATATGTCTCGTTTCACAAAGCAGCATATATATAGGTATATTTGTGATAGGAAACATAAAAACACACCTTTCACAAAAATTCAGCTTTACGATTAAGTGCAAATATTGAAGTAATTATATGAAAATACGTCTTATAGATAATTGTAATTAATTTTTGTTACCTACCTTATAATTAAAAGGGTTTATTTATCTCTCCTAATCATCAATATTCGAAAAGTTTTCGCCAGCCTCAGAGCTCTCGTAAAGTTTCCGATGCAAACTGTCACAATTATCGAAAACAAACGTCAAAGAACGCCCCATAGAAAAAAACCCAGACCCGACAGAAACGAGACATATCTCAGTTATTTTGTTATTTATTATATAGTTAAATTATATATTTTTTATATTCGATATCAATGGCTAACTCCAAAATATTGCATTATGTTTTTGTGCAGGCGTTACTCTAAAAAATTACAAAAGCCTATTTATCTACAAAATTCGTAAATGCATGTAACTAAATGACGATACAATAGTTATAGGATGTATCTAAGTGACCTTTATCCGAACGTTAAATGTTAATAGCGTTTATTGGTTTCGGTGCGAGAAGTTATCGAATCCGAGTCGATTTCGCTTTCCGAGACGATTGTGAATAGCCCTGCTGGATGCAGATCTTCTCAACAAATATGACCGCCTTCTGAATAGCTGCATTCGATTCATTTTCAATCTTCGCAAGTATGACCATGTATCCACGTATCGATCTTAATTAAAATGGTTACCTATTCGTCAACGCCGTAGTTTGCGTGCACTCACCACCCTTTATTCTGTCCTGATGTCTCCAACTTCCCCTTCTTAATTATCGCCTTACTTTCAGTTGCTTAGCGCTAGTTATGAGAGAAACCTCTGCATTACGAACAGCCTTCTTCTCCTATGTCTCTCCCATAGCTCTGGACTTGTTCATTCTTCTTTCCACATTCAATCTATTCTCCTTTGGAATGCACTACCTCTCGAAATCAGGACGGCTATCAACGGTTACGCGTTCAAGATGAAGGTTCGGGAACACTTAATAAATTGGTAGAATCATCATAGTAACAGTTATATATATAATGTGTGTGTTTATAAATATATATATATTCTTATTATGTATATTATATATTTTATTTCATTATGTGTATATTTGTATATATTTATGAGTTTACATACATCTGACATTATAATATGTACTTAAGTATTACACATTTTATTATCTTATTATTTTTATTATAATTCATTTTATATATATATTTTTTTTATTTTTGTGATCTTTTTTGTTATTTTAGTTTAGTATTCACATATTAACTTTTTATTACACCTGCTTCATTTTATCTCTGCATCATCCTAAGGTAGACTGGTAGAGAATGCCTTAGGCATTAAGTCCGTCTATATACCACATGTGAGTGTCTATGAAGTTTTAAATAAATAAATATATTCTGTGACCTATCCAAGGCCTTCGATTGTGTTCATCATGAAACATTAAACAGGAAACTTCAACACTACGGTGTAAGAAGTGATGCTATTAAATTAATTATTTATTATTAGTATTTAAGTAAGAGCACAATATTATGAGCTCTTTCGGGTCGATGGTACAAATAGGCATGCCTCAGGGATCAGTTATCGGTCTCTTTCTGTTTCTTATATAATATATTGCCTTACCTTACATAGTAGGGGATAAACACTATATAGTATTTTTGACGACACATCTTTAATTTTCAAATTAAAATGACAACTACTAAAATATGACGAAATAAATAAGCTTCAATGGGGCCCCCATATATCAAAACTAGCAAGCAAACTTAGTTCGGCAGCATACGCTGTAAAAAAGATTAGAACAGTGTTGAAACAGCTAGACTAGTTTAGCTTTTTCCATAGCATAATGTCGTGTGGTATTTTACTATGGGGACACGCGACTAACACTGAAGTTATATTTGTTTTACAGAAGAGGGCCATAAGAGCAATCTATGATTTAAAGCCTAAAGAGTCACTGCGATAAAACGTTATTGAAATTAATATATTAACTTTGGCCTCTCAATAATTTTATGAAAATGTAATGTACGTACACAAAAATATAAGTAGTTTTACAAAAACAAGTGATATTCATTCTGTAAGTACTAGAAACAGACACTAGCTAGTAGTACGAGTTACTCGACTCCACCGAGTAAGTACCTCAGTAATTCATTCTTGGGGCGATGTGCATATATGCTTTTACAACAAAATCCCAGAAAATATATAAAAGTTGACCTGCTAATAGTTCAAAAACTTTATTAAACTAAGTTTATATAAAAAGAGTAATTATAATATTAAGGAATTTATGGATGATAATAACCCCTGGGAATGACATGATTGCTATCAAGCTATATCTAATTTGTTTTGTGTGGTTCATTGTGTTACATACATGATTGAAAGCTGTTAAAAAAAGTCCCGTTGGGTTTCTGCTGGTACTTCCGAGGTCAGAGGTTTTTTTTAAACCGTTGGTAATTAAACAAAAGAGTGACTTTCAATAAGTATTATTTATAATCTATTTTGAATACATAAGTTTATATTTCAGTTTCTCTAACTACAGGCACTATTAATTTCATGAACAGTTCAAAGAGACTATATATATGAAGTTATTTAAAATTATAAGAATGTATAATAAAAAAATTCTAATTGCGAAGCATTTTCTAGGTGGTTCCTACTTTTGTCTAATTTATTATTGAAACGTATTATTATTTTACTTACATTTTTAAGGTTAATGAAGATATCAAGCCATATTTACGTAACTATGCGTCCGAAGTTTGTCGTTGTGCTGAGATGGAGCGCAGGCTTCATTACATGGAGTCTGAGATGAAAAAGGACAATATTAAAATTCCTGATCTCGACCAAGACCCTCCAGCATTGCAACCGCATGAAATGTCTCAGTTTGAAGTACGTACATTACTCTTTAATTATTATATAAAATTCAGAAGCAAAATAATAAGATTACAGCGAAAATTGACCATGTGTAGCGGTGAAAGAGTATTCTCTACCCCGTATTGTGTTGGAGGGAAACTGAAGCAGAAGATGGGTGGTAACATCTTTATGTTGACAACTCAAAGTAATGAAAAAACTGCGGTTGCCTACCCACCTACCAAACGTGGCAATTATGGCAAAATCCCTGTAATGGATGGATTAACGGTGAAAATATTTATAGTTAAGGATTACTTGGACTAAAAGCATATTAAAAACGTCCAGAAGAATCCAGGAATTTGTTTTGTATCTTGGAGGCGTTCGAAAATTATAAGTTTCATATGAACAAACATATGAAGAGGATGCCGCCGTATTAGTCCAGCTTGCTCAATCACAGTGAACTAAAAGGAGTAAATAGCTAGCATGAGGTGAATGGGCCAGTCTAGGTGACCATTCCTAGTCAACTCGGCGAGAAAATTGTAAATACATTTCATTCTAGATTTCAGCTCCTTTTTAGGGTTCCATACGGAAAGGGTAACCAACGGGACCCTATTACTAAGCCTTTGCTGTCCGTCTGTCCGTCTGTCAACGAGCTGTATCCCATGATTCGTAATAGGTAGACAAATGAAATATTCACAGAATGTGTATTTCTGTTGCCACTGTAACAAAAAATAGTATAAATAAAAATAAATTAAAAACTAATGGGAGCTTTCCTACTAGAAACGTGTTTTACGATGGTACAGTACTCTACATGCGCGAATCCGACTCGCACTTGGCCGGCTTTTTTATTTGTCTTTCGAAACTATACCAGGGCTACAGCATCAGCGGCAGGATTACTACCATAGGTGGAAAAAATATTTATTCAATATGTAATATACTTGATAAAATATAGTAGAATGGCCGTGGAAGGAAAAAGGGAGTTCTCCCGCCTGGCTAGGTCTTCAGCCCGGGGAGCGACCAACGCTCCATTTGATAGTTTGGAACTATTCTACATATACTGCAGTACTTCGGAACTGTGATAGCGCGATGTAGGCTACGGTTACGGTTACGGTACGGTACTAGGTACGGTTACGACAGCGCTGTCACGGTAGATTATGTCTATTAAATAGATGTTCAATCCAATGAAGTTTTAAGTATAGTTAAAATGTTATATTACTATATATGTTCGAATATATATTGTCATTATTACAGTTTGTATAAGCTAAAAGTAATCTCTTCTTCGGTGCCGAAAAGTGTAGCTGAAGATATATGGCAGAAATTAGGTATTCTCGTGGGCTCTCTATTAGGCATACAAAATTATAAGATATAAGATATATTTCAGTTATAGGGGTTCAAAAGTAACCAGAAATGGCTCGTTTAAATCTATACACTTCCAGAGCGTCCACTTTTCTATTCCGAACTTGAATGACACGCTGCCAGATACGCGACAGTGTGTCATCGATTACGTACATTGCATTAAGTATATTCTTAATTTTTTTTCTCATATAATATATTCGAAAAGGTTGTTTATAGTCAAATCACAACATTTTTATAATGAAATAATCTCTTAAGCCCTATTCAGTAATAGTAAATTTCATTCTATAGCTCTACCACAAATTATTATTGTCTTCGCAAATGATCATAAATATAGTTTTCACCATTACATGAAAAGTCAAAATTAGCTTCTCGTAGTAGCTTTAAACAAATTCGCATCGACTATCATCTTGAATTCGTCATTATTAACTTTCTGCTTCAGGCGGTCACGAGGTTAATTTGTGAGTTCAACATTTTTCCAACGAAACCGATTGTTTTTTTGATAACTTATTATTTATTTGTATAGTAGTTGTAGTAAATGAAACTGAAAAAAATACTTTCAATAAGTAATATTAAAAGTAAAATGAATCGCTGAATGTGTTCCTAAGCGCAAATCTCGAGAGCAACTGAACTGATTTCGCTAATTCTTTTTTATAATATTCCTTGAAGTACGAAGATGGTTCTTACGGAGAGAAAAATTTAAAAAACTGCCTGAAAAAATCTAGAAACAACACTTATCTATATTCCCATACAAAAGATTCGTAATAATACTTAAAAGTCAATTTGAACTTAAATACCATACCATTAATTTCAAGTGTTAGTGAAGGGGTTCCGGGAAGTCAAAACAATTGAGTGACGTTAGTATCGTATAAATATTAATGTCAACATTTATACACACTGGCAGATAGCTGATGTTATAAGGAGTAGCTTGGGCTGCTTTATTTTAGGGTACCGCGAAAAATAACTCCACGCGGGCGAAGTCGCGGGGAACAGCTAGTTACATATAAAAATAAAAAAAATTTCGTTTCTCAATCTCGTTCAGCCTACAATAGATGAGTAGATTTTGATGAAATATGGTGGACAAATTATTTATGTATACATACGTAGGATAATATTTAGGAAGAAAACATCATGTTTCCTCAGGGAACAACTTCACATAGGTAAAGGTTCCTGTAATAAAATTGAATTAGAAAGAGATTGGAATATGGTCCTGGTTTCGTTTTAGTTGCTTATCCCAGCCGAAGTAAATATTAAAGTTAAATAATAATAAAAGATATTTAAAAGATTTAAATTATTGAAGATTGGATATCAATATTTTAAATAAACATTACTTCCCACTCTAGAATTTTCTCCTGTATCGTGGAGGCAGCTTACATACATAAATTGCACAAGAGCTGGTTCTTATCCTGGAGAAGGGCCAAAATGGTGTATGTTGGTTTAAATTACCAACTATTGGTTCACAGTTATTAAAATGATGATTTTACGTAAATTAATGGACTGTATGGTGAGAATTTACCATTTCGCGATACTGCAAATGCCCCTAAATTCGGGCTACAGGCAGGATATGAAGAAATGCATATGCACTCACCAGGACTTCTGGTAACCTGCCTCGTGTTTCAAGAGCTGCGGCAGCGATGGCAGGCCTCTGTTACTCTCTGTGCTACCTGCGTGAAATAATTACCTACAATCGCGAGGCGCCCCGGGCTAGATACGCCTGTCGGGGCTAGCGCGTTCTAGACGATTGAATGTTTAAGTTTTTTAACGCTGTTTACATAAATAGTTATCTTTTAAATACTTGTTGAAATATTTTTGTTTTGTATTTTGTATATTTAATTGTAGGATAAAATAGCTGACAAAGGTTTAATGTAATTTAAAAATAATATATATGTATATTCTATATACCTATCTATTCGATATATTAGAACAGCAAAACGTAATTCCTACTATAATTGTTGCGTGGATGGATGCTTAATGAGAAAACAAAAGGATTCAGATATATGAAGCATAATGCAAGGTCAATTTTTTTATAGATAGGCACTTATAGCAAAAAAAAGAATAAAGTAATAATTAAACTACAGAAGTAATACCTAAGTAGTTTATTACAAAACTTAGTTCACATTTATTTCACTATCCCAGTATATGTACCTACCTACATACCTATAGTTGTCTTTTGTAATTAAAATATTTTAAGTTTTAATAACACATCATCATCATCATTACAGCCCTTCACAAGTCCACTGCTGAACATAGGCCAAGGAATGCCACATAGCACGGTCCTGAGCCACCTGCATCCACCAACTTCCTGCATGTTTTACAAGTTCTTCCTCATCCGGCCAGCAGTGAAGGATCACGTCTCAATTCTATAAGTCATCACTGGCAACACGCACTGGTTGTACAGTCTCGTTTTTAAGTTTTGAGGTATACCTAACGAGAAGATGTGCCGTAATTTCCCGAACGCTGCCCAACCGAGTTGAATCCGTCGATTGACCTCTCGGTCGAAGTTGGACTTACCTAGTCGGACTATTTGTCCCAAGTAAACATACTCGTCAACAACTTTGAGCTTAGTGCTCCCAACAACTATCGGCATAGGTGTGACATGGACATTAAACATGATCTTTGTTTGTCCATCTTCATCTTTAGACCTATCCGTTGGGAAGCACTATTGAGGTCATTGAGCATAGTGCTTAGGTCCTCCAGCGATTCTGCCATAAGGACTATATCGCCGGCAAATCAAAGATGAGTGATGTACTCGCCATTGATATTGATACCATATCCTTTCCAGTCCAGAAGCTTGAAAACGTCTTCCAATGCAGCAGTGAAGAGTTTCGGGGATATAACGTCACCCTGTTTTACACCTCTCTGCAATCGGACAGGTTTCGTACTCTGGTTCTGTACTCGGATAACCATCGTAGCCCTACTGTACAAGCACTTCAGCACTTCGATATACCGACAGTCAACTTGGCACCGCTGAAGGGACTGCAGCACCGCCCAAATTTCGACGGAATCAAAGACTTTCTCATAGTCCACATACGCCAGACATAATGGCAAATTGTACTCCTCGGACTTCTGTACAATTTGCCGAAGGGTATGTATGTGGTCTATGGTGCTAAAGCCCCTTCGGAAGCCGGCTTGTTCGGGAGGCTGGAAGTCGTCAAGTCTGCGCGCAAGACGATTCGTAATGACTCTCGAAAACAGCACGTAGACGCGGCTTAGAAGGGAATTCGGTCTGTAGTTCTTCATGAGAGCGTTGTCGCCTTTTTTGAAGAACAAGACCACTGCGCTACTGCTCCACACCTCCGGTGTAAAACCACCATGGAGGACGGAATTAAAGAGCTTCTAAAGGTTCTAGAGTGGGAAGTACTGGTAATCCATCCGCTTTCAGAAGCTCCGCTGTAATTCTATCCTCGCCGGGGGCCTTGCCATTTTTAAGGCGCTGGAGAGCCATTCTAATCTCGTTTATACTGACGTTTGGGATGTCATCGGAATAGTGTCGGATAAGACTCGCTCTTGGATCGTTACTCACACTTGCGTGTGGCTCCAACGATGATGTGTACAGCTGCCAATAGAACCTCTCAATCTCACTCAAAATCTCAGATGTCCCGGAAATGACGCTGCTACACTCGGTCTTCATCTTCAAGAGTTGGCTCTTTCTGGCAGACAGATCTCTAGCAAAGACTTTGGAGACC